TAAGAGTTTTATTAAAATAAATATTTCATTGTCATTTATTGCACTTTTACTTATCTATATGCGTAACGTTTAGGTTGCTTATTCGTGACAGTAGAGTGGAAAGTCTGCTGTGAACCCCAAGAGAGTGAAGCTGGCTGTGCATTGTGTTGCTGTGTTACGCTGATTAAAGATTATTTAAAGAGAAACTGTAACCCCGCTCCTTACCCACGGCCCAGACTGCCTGGGAAATGCTCCAGTACCCATCAAGAAATCAGGGGTATAATTTCATACCATTTGAGCTCAGAAGCTCTCACTTTCATACACTTTTGTCAAAACGCTCTAAAGGCTGCAGCATGCGTGCTTTTACCCCATGGACCCAATAAAATCCTTTCAAATGGACAGAATCTGTTGCAACCACTGATAAAATCCACTCTGGTCTGGTCATAAATACTACATGGTGCCTTTGATCTGTGTTTATATTGACTAGTATCTAAAAATTGTCCACTGAATGAATAAATACAGACAAGGATAAGAGGGAGCCTTGTAGGACAAGCAGCAGCCATGTGTCTAATGTTAAGTAAAAATGAGGGAAACTGAACATGAGATGTTATGAAAGGGAGGTTTATTTCCTACTTGTGTCTTTTAAACCCACATTACTGAGTTCAGTAAACATCTGTTTTCACTTTTGCCTCTCCTCTGTGTTGTAATGTGCAGATGTTTCATTTAAGAACATCAAAAGCCCCGGGGCCAGCTCCTCACTCTGTCTGAAGTTGGGCAAATCAGTAATGTGCACAAAAGGACGAAAAGACCCAAAGTTCATCCAACTGCAGAGGAGAACATCTTCTCTGAGATTAGACCTACTTCTGATGTTTAGACCAAGCTAAAGAGCATGCATTAGCCACGATTAGTCACCTGATATTTTTCATTCATCTCACAGGAGCGTCAGCATTTTGGAACAGTTGTTTGAGATGTGTACTTCCTCCAAAGAGCTACACACTAAGATTTTCTGCTGCTCTCAGTGTTACTTAGGGTCATTCACACTCATTTTGTCAGTTACAATCTTGATAAGTTATTGTATCAAAATGTTATTTTCTTGCATTAACATGTCTGGGAGTGGGGTGTGTGCATGATGTTTTCTTTGGACAGTGTTGTGAACGGAGCTGTATATTACACCATCCTGGAAAACATGTACCAGCTAGACACTTCATGAGCAAAGCTGATCTTGGTATGACTACGGACACTGGCACTGTAAAGACATTTCACTGTATCTCTGGCATATAACACATAGAGAGCATAATGCTGGAAATCAGTTTTTCATATTTAACTTGAGATTGTTCTTGTGTCAAAGACAGACGTACCATCAGTCAATTCCCTTTATAATTTCAACATCTCGGGTATGGAAACATATTAATATATCTCCTCCAAATTTAGAAGGAGGAGAACAAGAACACGGGACCAGTGGGGGCCAAATACAAGAATGAGAATAAAGTCTGTCATAAGAAGTCACAGGGTTGGACAGCTGCTTCTGCACATCATCAGTCCAGCCTGCATCACTCAGGTTCAGCTCAATAACACATTCAAGATGCTTGTGTGAATTTCTGAGAGGAATGAATGACTACAACTGAACCAAAAGGCCAGGTACAGTAGAGGATAGTCACAGGCTAAAGTAAGAATTTTGAACACCACAGTCAAATTAATTCCAATTTCCTTTTACAAAACCAAGTGAGACTTCTGTCAAAGTGATTTATGGCTTCAATCTCAAACCAGTGGTGTTGTTTCAGGGAAGGAACCTCAAAGTTAAAACCAGATTTTTTTCTTAAATCTCATCATTTCCTGTAGCAAGATCAAAGCTTTTCACTGTTTGGCTTTCCTGATAAATAAGCTGTGATTTTTCCATGTATTCATTGCTTCAAATCATCCACAGCTGCTGGAAACCCTGAAACAGTCAACACATTTTGGACAACCACGCCTTCTACCTCTGTCTTTTTGAAGGTATCTATGGGTAAATGCTCTGGGATATAGCACACACATACACTAAATAAATAAATTTAAAAAAATAAAATAAGCTTGAAGGCCACAGGCACATCATCAGCCATTTCAGTTCATTATTTGGAAACATCTCCTCTGATGCCCACATTTGGGAATCAAACTTGAGGGGAGAAGAAGATGAAGAGGGACCAGTGGGGGCCAAACACAAGAATGAGGGTTGGACAGCTGCTGCATCTGCACTTCATCAACCCAGCTTGTGCCTCCTACCCTCAGGTTCAGTACAATAACATGTTCAAGATGTTCTGAATGAATGACTACAACTGCACCAGAATAGTAGAGGATGGTCAGAATCTGAAATGAAAGGTGAAATCTTAAACACAAAGTCACATGAACTCAAATTTCCTGGAACAAAACTAAGTGTCTGTCAAAGTGATTTATAGTTTCCATCTCCAACCAGCAGTGTTTTTTTTTCAATGAAAGCATCTCAAAGTAAAGACCAGGTTTTCCATAAATCTCATCATTTCCTGTAACAAGAAAAAAGTTTTTACTGTTTGGCTTTCCCTATGTGTTCACTTCTTCTAGTGTCCTCAGCAGCTGGAAACCCTGAATGCTTCAATAGATTTTGCTAGAAGAACACCACCATGTAACTAGCAGTATAAAGCAATCTGGCATCTCCTTCTGAATTCACAACTGTAAAGTAAATCAGTATAAAGATTTGACTGACAGTCTCTTCTGTGATCATCCATCTGAAAATTAATGCAGGCAATTCATCAATTTAGCTTCAGTTTACCTTGTGAGTTCATTATTAGTATTTTATTCGGCTTACTAAGCAGTTTTGTAGTAGATGAAATGATATCACTTAGTCACTAAGCTAAGTTAAGCTAAACAAGAATCATTTGAGCCATATGTAAATACATCTGCTAATGATTCTGTTTTCTAGGCCATCTGAAAAAATATTAGGCTACCTGCTTAATTTCATAAGCATTTAATTTTGAAATGGCGTCACCTTTTTGGCTAAAAGCCATCTGGAAATCCTTTCCCATGCAGATAATCTCATTTCAGCGAATGAACAGAAACCTTCCAGACAGATTCCTGGTGCACAGACCTTGTATAATGATGGTGCTGATGTGCTGTGGTGCCTTTTGATGTTGATTTGTTGAAGTTTTATGTGTGTGTGTGTGTGTGTGTGTGTGTGTGTGTGAGAGAGAGAGAGAGAGAGAGAGAGAGATAGAGAGAGAGAGTGTGTTTCCTGGTGTGTGTAGTTGTGTGGGCACATGACACTGTCCCATGTGAAAGCCTCTTTACAGCCACGTGTTGATATCAGCTCAGGAGAAATATCTTTCCTTCTCTGCCTGAGTAAAAGCTTCTGTACATGGCTGGGTCTTCCACTGTGTGCTCACACTGGAAGTAAATCACAGGAGTTTGTTTCTTCCTGATTACAGTAGGGAAATCCATTGAAAAGTTATTTCTTTTTTGCATTGACTGAGGGTCTGTTTTTCTGATCCAACAGACTGAGCTCATCAAGTGTTTCAGCACTGAAGCCCATTTAGATTCCTAACTTTAATGGCTTGAGATTAGGTGTGATTGGAGCAAGCATATTTTCTTAATATTCAATATTAACATTTCTTTTTCTCACGGTCCCTTTGTTCTGAAAAGTTAGCCAAAGAATTTTAGTGACATATTGGTGATTTCTGTCATCATATGAATTTGCCAAAACTTAAAGTCTGGTATGAATTATTTTGTCTCATGCAAGCTGACTTTCCAGGGCATATGTCATCTAAACATCACAAGGATAATCTGGTAAACATTTCAAAAGCTCATGCATTATGAATGGCTTTAGAAGCACATACAGTGGTGTGGTTTTCATTTTTTTCATTTGGTCCAACTCCACAAGAAGAATGTTCCCAACTCTAATTTAGAAACACTTTTCACTCTAAAACTGACTGACAGGATTCTTAATGCTTTAAACAAGTGGAATGCAAGAATCAAATTTATTTTCAATCACTGTTTACAAATTCAACATTTAAAATGCTCACGCCATGGCAGTCTTGAATTTTTAGGTTTTCAATCCAACCGCTTTAAAGGAACTATATAAATCCACTAAAACAACTCATAATTAAAGGCTCAAACCAGTATTGTAGACTAATTATCTTTGTGAAATGCTGTTACCAACAGAGAAAGTGCAGCCAAGTCATGAAAAACTTTGCTAAAGCAGAGAGTGAAATAAAATGTTCTTTCACTAACTTTACATGCAAACAAACACAAGATCAAATGAAGCTGTTTGGAAGTGGGCCTAAAATGCCCCAAACAAGGACGCGAGTGGATCAGGGTGCTCAACAAATGCGCTTAATATTAGTGTTGGCTAATGAAATGTCGGCTGTAGGTGCCACATTTTGTGTGGAGCCTGACTGAATCGATTCATTTTGATGTCAGGAGTAAAAAACATGCTCTAATCAGTGTTTTTATTGCTGGGCTTCTCATAGTTTTGTTTTTAAAACCTGGACTTTATATTGCTTCAGTCTGGTGTGCTGTGACTATACAGCCCATGAAGTACATAATCAAGTCAACGACATTTTTTCCCCATCATATCACTGTTTTCCTTTTGTGAAAATACATCAACCAATTCCAATACAATGACTTTCATTGAAGAACATTATTAGCATTGAGCTGAGTTGCCAGATCTTATCTTATTTGGTCAACAATCAGTCCAACTGAGGAAATGAAGATGCAGTTTACTTGATCTTAACTAAATAAAATCCATATTTTAAAGAAGCAAAAATGTCATTATTCTGACTTACTGATATTAATTTAGTCTTTCATTTAGTTAGGTTAAAAATGACTCTATATGAACAACAGTTACATTATTACAGTTTGACGACCTCTAGTGAGTGTAGTAATTATGATGTTTGTGCTGCATACTGGATCAATTGAATGATGCATGAAGTTCTCAGTTGCACTGGAAATTCCTTAGTTTTGATTCTCACCTAATAAGTGAAGCCACCACTGACGATATAAAAGAGGGATGATGATTTGGAAATATCCTTGTAATTTATAGCTAGGTACCACCACCAAAATATTTTAGGAAATTATGAGGAAAGTTTTCTGTAAATTAGCTGGAAAATAGGAGACTCATAAAACGCAGGATTAGCAAAAAGCCTGTCACAGAGGGCTCTGCATTATGCTCAAAATGTATTTGCATTAATCTGACTTAGGTTCTTGTCATTTATACTGACTGAGATTTTTTAAAATATTTGTCAGTCCAAATATTTTTCCCTTTTCCTTTCAGAAATTTGCTTCCCTAACAATACACTATGGAATCCATAGATGGCTGATGGACACTTACGGTGTTAGCGCTGAAACAACACAATTGGTTTAGTCAGTCATGACCTTTAAGTGACCTCTGTGTAGGAGGGGGGGAAGAGAGACATATAGGCTCAAGAAAGAGAGAAAGAAAACAGATGGACTGAGAAGGAAAAGAGGGTAGAGTGAGTTACTCTGGCTCCAGCAGAGAGAGAGACAAGAGTGGTGTGAGAGAGAGTAAGAGAGAAGAGGGGGGGACCTGTTTTCCCTCCTCTCTTCTGGCTTTAAAAAGTGAAACAGCCCTTTGAAGATGAAGAGAGAGGGGCAGTCCTGCACTTCCATTCAGCCTGGACTGTAAGGCACATTTTTAGTGTGCCGACACTAACCCAGATACCAGACATAACACAGAGCTAGGGAGCCAGCTGAGGACCTGACAGAGTCCAGGCATGAACGACATCAAACTGGCTCTGCTGGGAAGCCAGGGGGCTGGGAAATCAGGTGAGTGGCTGGTGAGATCTAGGGCTGCAACTAACATCCATTTTCACTGCTGATTCATCTGCAGACTTTTAAAATATTATCTGATGAATAGTTTTGTCTATAGTATTTAACAAAAATATTATATAACTTCCCCCATCCCAACCCTGACAGAGTTTTTGGCAAATCGCTCTTTATAACAGTTTTTATCCATATTTTATTCATACTTATATCACAAACATTTCTATTTCTTCTATCATTCTCTCAAAGGACAGCTGAGATTTAAATATTTAAAATGTAAAATGTGTCATTGTTGGTAGATGATAGCTTGAAACCTAAACCTAGACCTTAACTTTTTGGGCATTTTTGTGTAGTTAACTACTGAAACTGCAAACAATTTTGTACCATTTCATAAACAGCTTTGAGAGACTGCTCATGTGTCATATAAAGAAGAGATTAGGCTCTGACAAGTAAAAGGACAGGCCCATTATTTAGACCAGTGTTCAAGCTGTTCACAGTGTTGGAAAAGGTGCCAGTGATGACTGTTGTAGTTGTTAAGACTGTACAAGTCAGATGATACAAAACTGAAAGGGAAGCCAGGCCTGTTTTTTTTAGACCAGTGTTCAAGTCAGTCAAATGGTCTGTAAAGGTGCAAGTAATTTTTTTAAGTTATATTCGGATAATACAAAGTCCAGATGTTTACAGCAGGTAATAAACTCACCCACTGGCATTTTTGCTGGCATTTGATTTTTTAGTATTGTAGTTTGTATCACATGTGCACAGTTGGTTTGATATTTTCTTTCTATAGTTTGAAATACTTTTTCTAAGAAGTTAGCCAAACTCAATTTCTCCCAGTGTGAAATAATTGGTAGCTTGCAAAGTTTTCAAAGTAACTGGTTGTTTGGGGACAAAGTTGAACATTTTGCTAAAGCCATCTTCGCTGTCTACAGCAGCTAACTGGCAACTAAGCATTAAAGTTAATTCTTGACCTTAAAAACAATAGTTTCACAAAAAAAGAGGTGCACAGGTGCAAAAAGGTTCACCTAAATTCACTTTTTTAACCACAGATCAAGGTCTTGCCAAGTGGAAGACACTTTTCTTACAAACTGTGAAGGTGAGCTCGGCTAACAACTGGTTAAGTTGCATTTTTTTAATAGAAACAAACAAAAACCCTTGTTTTCTCTGGGCTTTGGTTTGCTGTATGGTTTATTAGCTCCATTCATTGATTGAGATTGGATTATTTCTTCCTCTAGTGAATCCCTGCCAATGTTAAATTTGAGTTTAGTTGTTATAGAGCTGATTTAAAGGTTGGAAGGTTCTTTGTTTACATAAATAAAATGGACAGCATTTGTATTTAAGTCTGAACAACTTCCAAAGCTTCCACCAACTTAGTTTCTGAGACTTTCATTAGTTTATTTGACCATATATCTGCGAGGCCAGGTCATTTTTTTAAACTGTGGTGAAAATGCTGCCAGGGCACAGAGGGGAGTTACAGGGCCATTGCTGCTGCTTGGGGTCTTGTCACTTACATCTGTGTTCACTCTCTCTGGTGGTGGTTAAGACTGACTGACTCTGCACTGTGTAAGAGCTTCATAAAACAATGGGACGTTGCCATTCTCGCAGCCTGGCAGGGAGCAGAACTGTTACTGTGGAGATGCTGCAGCCTCCAGAAGCTGTATGTGCACGTGTGTGTCCATATAATACAAGTTTCGCTCTTTGCTGTTCTGTTTGTTGCTTTCAGTTCATGCTTCTACGGTAAATGTCTTGTTTTTCTCTTTGAATTTAGCAATGTTAGTGTGAAGAAGGCCACAAAGGAGTTGCTTTTTTGTCTCCCTTTGCATGTTCCAGAGTGCATGCATGGGTAACTTGCTGTGCCATATCTATGTGGATTCCTAAGTATAACCCCTGAATATCCCCTTCAGAGGCCCATGACCACAACAGCACAGCCCCTTTAGTGTTCAGCATTTGAAAGTTCAGCCTTAATCGAAACTGATATTCTCTGGGACCAAAACTGGTCCAGACAGTCAGTTTTATGTGTAGCTCTCAGTCTGGAGGCAAAGCAGAGGGGGAAATAAAATCATTTAGCTTGCCAAATATGTACAAAGACCTTCCAGCAAAGCCACACAGCCTCTTTTATGTGAAGCTACAGTTTCACCCCTCCACAGAGGCTGCTGTAGTTAAAAGTGTAATTTCCCCCCCACCACTGCCACCTGTGAGGGGGAGAGTGGAATGATACCATGATTCATTTTGTTGTTTTTCATTTCAGCTGTCCTTGTGCGGTTCCTGACCAGGCGCTTCATTGGTGAATATGCCTCAAACACCAGTAAGTGTTTCCAGATTTGATGAAATTGTGCTTTGATGGATGTTTGGTTTTGGCACTGGAGAACAACTTCATAATATAACTATTATTATTGAATATTTATATTGAGGCACCACTGATGTTGTCGAAACAAGAGGAACGACTTCTCACTTTTCTAGTTGTGTTGCTGGCATAAATTTTAACAGCTTCTCACTAAAATGCCACATGGACTGCTATGTTATGTCAAAAAATAAACTGGACCAAAACCGAGCAAAAATGAGCAAAATTACTTAATTTTCTAATCCAGGAAAACACGTTGGTTTCTGCTAACTGGACAACAAAACACTAACACTGCAGTCAGTTGGAATGACTCCAAATTTCAGCCAGAATAATTCAGTACAGAGGTACAAAACTGAAAAGCTAACGTTAACTTGCTAATGATACCCACATATGCATGTTAGCCAGCTACAGAACTTATGGGGCGGGGGGTGCAGGGAAAAAACTTCTAGATGATATTTTACTTAATTTATCAAAATCCTAGTTAATGCAGCTTTAAGATTATGGAACATAAAAGCAAATGTGTATGACAGCATCTTAATCTGCGTGCAGCAACAGTCTCTTCTCACATCCTTTGACCTCCAGACTACACTTCCTCCTAGCTGTGTTTTTACCTCTGTTGCATGCTTTGTGGTTTTCTTTTCTCTTCTGTCTCTCTCTCTGTCTGCTCCCCACCTGACACCCCCAGCTCTCTCTTCCAATCACAGCATGATATGACATGAGATTTCTCAACTAAAGGTGCAGTTTGCATGCTCTTTTTATATTAGTTAACCACAAAATTACATTATTATTTATGAACTGGATTATTAACTACGCTGACTCTTTATCTATTTACATCCTCCTTTAGTTACTTCAATTATTTTCAGTTTTATTACATTACTAAAAGAGCTTAATTCCTTTTGTATCAGAAATTAAATTGTTTTAATCCCTTGTTTATCACTCCAGGGCTACATAGAGTAATATGATCAATCAATATTTTATAAATGTAATCATACTTTTTGACCATTTCATATTGTTTTACAGATTCCCTGTACCATAAAAGGCTGTCTATCGATGGCCGGCAGCTGAATCTGGAAGTCTTTGACCCCTGCTCTCAGGTACGACATAGCTTGGCCATACCCATGGCTAATCCATCCAAATATATTTTTTAAAAACTTAAGAAAAGCAGAGTTGTAGTAAAACACTAAATGATCCTGTTTTGAGTTTTTTGGTTTCTGTCTATATTTCATCAAATAGGCTGGAAAGCTACTCAGACTGTTTCCTCACTTGCTCAAAATGCATGGGAGACTATGAATTAAATGAATGAATATGTCAATATCAGTGTCAATAATGTTTCATAAAAATACACGCAAATTTTACATTCAAGCATTTGTGTGATAATTGTCATCAGTGAGGTTAGACCTCAACCAACATTAATTTCCCTCAGGATAAAAATCATTGCCAATGTAAACTGTTTTATGGGCTTGCTTCCTGTTTAATGCTTTTATTTTGGTTAGATTTCCTGTCTTGTATCACCTCACCTGCCCCAGCTTTACCCCAGTGCATAATCACCACTCATTGCTTTCACCTGTTGCTCATTATCCTCTGTTCTCTAACCCATACATACTCCTCCTTTCCTTGATCTTCTTGCTGATTCATTCTGTGTTTGCCACACCCTGCTTCTTCACATACTCTGTAAGTTTTGACCTGGTTTCATGTTTGTTCCTTTGTGTTTGGGTTCTGGCCCGTTACCAGCTCTTTTGTTAGTTTCTCCAGTTTGACTTTTTGTTCCTTACTCATCTCCCTGACCCAACTGTTTAGTTTAGCCTTTTAGTGTCCTTTGTTTCTTGTCGTTAGGTTGAGCCCTTGTATTTTTTCCATATTGTTAGACTGACATATTTTCCTATGTGACTGTTAAGTTACTATGATTGCTATCAAAAGGTTACTGGTTGATCCCCATTTGAACTAATGTAAGGGACACATACTTCACACATGTCTGTGTGGTAAAATGTAAAAACATCAGATGGCATACTGTATATGGTGACCCTGAATTTAATCTGGCAATGCAATTTCAAAATAAAAGCATTTGTTCTTTGCAGAGCTCAGAGGCCAGGTGTATACTCGAGGAGCCGGTGGATTGGGCTGATGGCTTCGTGGTGGTGTACAACATCAGCGATCGCGCTTCCTTCATTAACGCCAAGAACATCCTGCAGCAGATTCGCGAGGCTCGCATGGACAGCTGCAAAGGGTCAAAAGCAACACAGTGATTGTTTTATGAAGTGAATGAGGCACTGAACAGAAGCAAGCAGGGGTCTTAAAATGCAGAGTTTGTTGACTGCAACATCTGCTGTACCATTCCTTCAGTTTCCACAAACTGCACCTTGTACTAAATAGTATTTGCAAGTATTTTCTTGGGCACTTGGTTCCACACTGGGCTACTATAATATGATTTGGCTTAAAAAGACTCCACTGTGTCAGTAATGCATTAAAATAAGCAAAGTATTTTTTCTGACCTTATTAATTAGTCATATTCCATTAAAAGTAAATAAAATCCTTGCATCTCAAATTACATGACAAGTACTAGGGCTGTAACTGAATATGTTATAAACACTACAGGAAAATGAAACAATCACAGTTGACCTACTTTCGTTGAAGCTGAACAGGGACCCTCATGCAGTTTTGAATCTGAGGAATGCTGGGTCTGGCCCTGTAAACTGATGAATGATTCATGATAAATGAAGGATTCACTGCAAACCTGCAGGCATATTGTAAGTTTGGTCTTCTGAAAAACAGCTCAACCATAGCCATGAAGCTGCTGTCATATGCCAGAACATCTTGTTAAGGAGGGAAGAAAATTGTTTACTGTAACACACTATGCAAGAGTAAAATGACACTATATACTGTAACAACTGATTCTTTAACTGGCTCCTCATCTAACCTGTCCACACTGACATGTCTGTCTCAGGGAGACTCCAGTTCCTGTGTGTCTGGTGGGTAACAAGCAGGACCTGTGCCATGCCCGGCAGGTCTGTGAGGACGAGGGTCGTTGCCTGGCGCAGGAGAACCACTGTCACTTCCAGGAGGTCTCGGCAGCCGAGAGCTACCAGGACATTGCCAACCTCTTTACCCAGCTCATCCGACAGGTGATGGAGCATTTGAAGTACCGAGCTGACCGACGACGCTATAGTGGCTCCAAGTCTATGGCCAAACTCATCAACAATGTGTTTGGCAAGAGGAGAAAGTCGGTGTGATGGTTTCAGCAGTTGGAGGGACCAGGATTGTGTGTGTGTGCGTGTGTGTGTGTGTGTGTGTAGACCCATGTTAAAGGAACTGGCTGAAAGGTTACATACTGTGACTTCTGTTGAACAAATCCACAGTGGTCTAAGCACTAACCGTGTTCATACTGTGGGCAACGTGGATGGAGGGTGGGAAGGATTGTAAGGCATCTGTGGGTCTACATCCACAAAATTTACAGGCAAATATTAACCTTATACAAGTCTTTAGCAAGTTTACTTTTTGTTGCTCTGGTTTAGCCTTGCAAAGGTTTGTCTGCTTTGAGCTGAGTTATTTAGAAAGGTCTAATCAGGTAGTGGTGATGAAAACGAAGCAGATTGTTGCAGTATTTTCCCACCTGGGACCATAGATGATTAACAGGACTGGAGACCATAAATAAGTTTTCCTACACAGGTTATGCTTTTATTCAGACATTTCTCTGGGGTTCTAAGGGGTCAAGCTGAAAAGATCAGGATCCATGGGACTAGGGTACCACTCAGACTTTTCAGTACTGGAACAACTACCTTTTCCCTCCACCACTGCCAGTACTGTTTTTCGGTGTCAATTAGAATCACATTCATAGTAGTTTTTTTTTTCTTTCTTTGTTTTGTTTTGGGAGTTAAATTACATTTATTTCAAGGTCCTGCACATAATGTATTAGCCTAATTAGAGCAAGGGTTGAAGTTGGCAGGAGTAATGCTGGGAATAATTTGAGGTTATTTAACTACATGTACCAGTAATGATGTGTAGGTGTGTAGGGTCTTAAACAGTGTTTATCTTCAGCATGTCCTGCACATATTAGGCCTAAAACTATTAAAAATTTATACCAGAAGATTAATACCTGAACAAAGATGAGGTAAACAAGTCTAAAAGTAACCAAACACCAAGTGCCAACTTTTGCTTTTAAGCAGACTTTCATACAGATGCAATTAAAAAAGGAACTTGCAGCTGCTTTCCAAGCAAAATGTCTGGCTGGTTTAATGCCATGTTTTTCATCTAAAATGAGAACTGGCTGTAATCAACTTCTCTCTTTAGACAGTTCCCCAGTTCAGCTTGAAACAAAATCATAACAAGGAGGAATGCAGGTCTGAGGGACGGTGAAATGTATGACCACAGCTAGTGTACTAAACCAACAGTTGAACACCAGTGTGCTCACAGTGTTTCACTCTCTGTTGACCAGCACTGCAGCATGTGGAATGAAAAACTGTCACTGTTGCTAGTTTGTCTTTCTCCCAGTACTCGCTGATATGTGATGACTATCATTTAGTTTTATCAGTACAATAATGGATGAAGCAATTTTATCTGACATGACTGTGTATATATTATGTATATTCATAATTGTATTTATTTTCACAGCATCAGAGGGATTAGAAAATACCTTGAATGTGAACTTAAGACTTTTAAGCTTTATAAAACTTGATAAAACTTTAAAAAACATGGACACACACCAGTTAAGGGCGTGAACTCATTCGCTATTGTTCTTAAATCGAGTTGGGTCACCATGATGTTGCATAGAATGTTCCACACATTGTGAAAAATAAATTTACATGTGCAGTGTTTTGTAGATAAATGTTCCTTTTGTAAATACTGTAAAAACATTGGCTGTTCCAGAGGAAATTAAAGTCAAACATTACTCAGTAGGTCGTCTAAGTTCTTCAAAGGGGCTGTTGTTTTGCTTTGAGCTTAGCTTTAATTAGACAACCATGAGAGGAGACATTTCTCTAAAGCCTTCATAAAAAGGAGTTTCCTGTGTGTAAATGCTAAAAATAACAGGTCTGAAGGAGATGTGAGAAGTGCAGCATTATCTTACTTAATGCTGGCTTCCAAAAGAAAAATGTTTCCAGTGCCCCCACTAGATGGCAGCACAGTTTACCAGAGCTCCTAATGATGTCAGCACATCATTACTTCTCTCTTCTGTTTAATGATGTTTAGCTCTTGGGCCCTGTGCAATTACACAATCAATTCAAATGACTGGGATAGATGACAATGAAAATGTGAAATCTAGGCCTGAAAGTAAGTCTGAGATACTGGTGAGTGACAAATTAGAAGAAAGCTAACATAAGAATTCTTATGGTGTTTAGTTGGGTTGAATACTGGTGTCTTTGAAGGATATGACATATATTCACAGCATGTTCAACTGTTCAGTGACCCTCATGAGCTGTATGGAGGCATTTACATTTGATGCGTTTCTCCATGCCGTTACACAGAGTTGTCTTCCTGGAGAGAAAGTATATTATTTCTTTTTTGTTTTTTTTTGTTTTTTTTTTGTTTTTTTTTTTTGCTATATTGAAAGTCTGGTCAAGTCGTTTCATATCTGTATGTCTCCTTTTAAAGCTTCCAACATATTTTAGATACTGTCTGAACAGTATAGTGTATGGTTCAGACAGAACATGCATGGTGCAACACAAATTAGCCACACAGACACGTCCGGTGTGCAAGATGAACCGGTTAATGTTTTTGATAAAATTATTTCCTCTGCCTGTTTCCCACATCCATCTGGTGAAACGCAGACAGGAAGCCTCTTCATATTCATCATCGTCATCATTGCAGCACAGGTGATGAATGAAAGCTGACTCTCTGCAGGAATCTTTTCAGTTTCAGTTGTTAGAAATCACTGAAAATATGCAAACACACTATTTCAAATATTATTCACCCTGAGGTTGACCACATAGAAGCATCCTTTTATCTGCAGCTTGCACCGTCTTGCAGAAATTTGTACAGATTATTTTTTAAATTTCAAATTATTCCTGACATTTTCAGCTAAAGGCATTTCTCCTCAGTTCACAAAAGACTTTTGACATTTGCTCTTGTAAAAAAAATTACCTTTGCCTCACAGGAAGTCATGCATTTTACATTTCCAGCATCAGCAACAGCAGTTTGCTCTGAATAGACAGGGGAAAAAACTGTGTAACCACTGTAGCTGAACAGAAAAAGATGAGCTCCACCTACAGAGGCTGAACAAGAAATCTGAAGAAAGAGACATCACCACTCACTGAATTTGAGCAAGGTAATCACTGGAGGGAGCAGCAAACACCACTGGCATTAACACCCAATAACAAAGATGTCAGGAAAATACACGTTTAGTAAATACGAAGAAAGTGTAAATCTGTGCTGGTGAAAAATACACTTCATATGAATGCATCTCTTAACACTCTTCTCTTCAATTTTTACAGAGAAATGAGGAGTGCAGACAAATATAGACAGAACCGTGGCCTTGTAGCTTCAGGTCAGTGATCTTATTTGGCCCCTGTGTGGAGATAGAATTGGTTTAGGCTTGTCTGAGGACAACCATCTGAACCAAGGGGATTGGATGCTGCTGGGACACAGCATGAGCCAATCAGAAAGACCATTGATCAGTTCCTCTTTAATCTCACAGCTGGTGAGCACATCCTTACTCCAATCTAAAACTCAGCAGCTTAGTCAGACTGACAGGGGATTGGGTGACTTCCAAAGACTTGAACCCAAATGGATCTACGTTGCAAAAGGAACTTCACTCAGCTCTCACAATCCATCTCTGTGGCAGCAATCACGACTGCAAAAATAAACAGTAGTTAATGTTGTTTAGACTGAAAAGCACATTTTCCTTAAAACGTGGACATAGTATTTCTGGGTAGAAAGATAATACTTTGTTTCCAATTCAAATTAATTAAAAAGGATACAGGTGGGATTATAGTTACTGACATATTTTCCTTCTATAATATAATGAAGTTGATAGTGAATAGTGGCTTTAAAAAAAAAATCCTCCTCTGTGGTCAGTGCAGACAGTGTGTATATGAGAGGCATCCTCTAAAAAACAATGTATTCAGAGCTTAGTTCTGTTTAATTTTGTGTCATTATCTGAAAGTCAAACAGTTTTGATTAGAAACATCTGGATCATCTGGTTTTATTTTATTAAACATTGACTGAATTCAAGGCAGATGTTATAATGTATGTATTGTGGAAGGATTCCTATGTAATCCTTTTCATATGTTATATGAGTTGTCTGGGCTCTGCTGTGTGAGCACTGAATACTGACTGGGTTTTATCAAATGTCAGTATCTTCTTGCAGCAATGCTTCTTCCAAAACCCAGCAAATAAATCTGATGAAAACTTGGTGTCACAGTGAGGCTCTCCTGTTGCTGAACCAGAGCATCCAGGAGGCTTTACATTGTCAGGATGTGCACTAGTTTTGACATACAGTGTACAGATGTGTTGGGTATGTTACTATACCATGTATAATGAACATTACATGGAAATGTTTTTTTTTTTAAGATTCCCACAATGGAACTACATCACTGAATGCATGGTCAGGGACCACCTGCAATACCCATGCCACAAAACTAGGGGTTTAATTTAATTTTTATATGCATTTCAATGTGCCAGCCATTTCTGAGTTTGTGCTCCAGCCTGGTCACCCCATCAAAAACATTTAGCTCTGCCACGGCCTGTATTAACAGGGAATAAGTCAGACATTATTCTACTGCCACAGACTTTCCACAGCCAGTTAGAAGGAAAACCCACAGAGTTAAGTCACATTAACCCCAAGATCAGTGTGTCTTTGCAACATCTTTATAAAGTTAAAAGGGAACAAAACTCCACAAATAAAACCATGACATTCCTTAAGGATGCAGCAGATGGTCAGTAATGATATCAAACACAGTCTGCATTGCCTTTATTAAATTTTAATTTAATTTAATTTAATTTATTTATTCTTTCAGGCATGTAAAGACAGTTGATATGTCAACACACATAATTTTACACATATCCAACAAATGCTAATCCAATATCAATGTGCTTATACCTAGTACATGCTTGAATGGAGTAGGAAGAAGTCAGACTTATCCAGTCCTACCCCATGACATCATCTTACCATCATTGGTTTGCAAGCAGTAAATGATTCACTTCTACCCACACACATATTATACTAAAAATAGATTTTAACAGTGTTAACATTCTTACATCACACAAGTAATATACTAAGGAATGGTTACAAAATATACACCACACCCACAATGTTCCATCTAATTAATCATTGAGCCTGTTCTTGCATATATCTTGATTGACACATACCTTTATATTTATGTTTAAACTCGTCAATTCTAGTACTATTTTTTATGTC